CACACCCGCCCCGCGCTGGTGGGGTCCTCGGGGCCCTGAGACCCCTGGTACCCCGCACACTCCTCGCTGTGTGTGTGTGTGTGGGAGGGGGTGGGGGGGTGTCTTCAGGATGGACCCACCCACGTGCTGGGGTCTGCACGTAGCTCTTTGTCTTGTTCCTGATTCACAGCTTCATTTTATCAGTGATCACAGTGCTCAGCTAATAAGCCAGGAGGGAGATCCTGAAGGCTGTGCTGGCACAGTGGGGGGCACAGCGGGGAGAACAGACATGGGGGGCAGAGTCATTGTGAGTGGAATGCACACCGGCCTCTTTATGGAGCTGAAGCTGTGCAGGAGCGTAGGCCCAGAATGCAGGAGCCACACCATGTGCTGAGCAGATCCAGGCAGGCACCTCTGCCAGGGCTGCGGGAGGCAGGGCCGGGCTGGGGGAGTCAGCTGTGAGGGCCCCTGGAGGGTGTGTGTGCACAGCCTGATTGGTTGAGGAAATGGGGGGTGCTCCCAGTTAGGGGAGTCATTGTGAGTGGAATGCACAAATCTTGCCCTAAATTACCTGACTGGTCATCGAGCTAAGATTTTTGGGGGGATAGATGGGTTATAAAAGCCCTTTTATAAAGCCTTTTTTAAAATCCTCATGCAAGGATATTTTCCCCATTGATCTCTAGAGAGAGTAGAAGGGAGGGAGGGAGAAACATCGACACCAGAGACACATCGATTGGTTGCCTCCTGTACGGCCCTGACCAAGGCCGGGAACCTGCAATGGAGGTAGGTGCCCTTGACCGGGAATCGAACCCACGACCCCTCGGTCCACAGGCCGCCGCTCCAAACACGGAGCCAAAACAGCAGGCAAAGCCATTTTTAAACAAACACAAAATTTACTAAAGAATCAAAGATGCCGAAAAAAAATTACTTGCTTCATGTGTCCCCAAAAGAGAAAAATAAAGGAGACACTGGCACCATGCCCAACAACAAAGGGAGTGAGATGTGGATGCCAGCAGAGGCCGGGCACTGGGACAGGTGTGACAGGCAGTCACTCCCTTTGCCCTGCAGCATGGAGTATCAGCTCCATTTTACAGATGGGGAAACTGAGGCTCGCACAAGCACAGCCAGCAGGTAGGGACCATGACGTGGAGCCCAAGTCTGAGTCCACAGCCCAGGTCTCCCTGTTCGGGTTGGACCTGGGGCCCCGCAGGGAGGAGGAGGAGGAGAGTGAGTGCAGGTGAGCTGGGAGCACAGCATGAAACCCTTTGTCTCTGTGGCTGCTCTCCTGTCCGAGAGGCGGAGCTTTCTGCCCCACCCGAGGCTCCTTAGGATCCTGCGTGTCCACGGCCGGCCGGGGCCTCAGCCTTCAGTCAGGATTGACCCAGGTGCCGTGGGTCCCCGGGGACATCACACGCCCGCGCTTGGAGTGACTCATGGGAAATGCATCTGGAAAGAGAAAGGATGAGAAATTGTCTCATTGTCCTTTCAAAATGACCATGTGCCGCACGGGCGTCTGGGAGCCGCTATCCCCTGAGTGATTTTCCCCGCTCAGCCCGCCAGATCCCTCTGCAAAGCACTCATTTGTTCCACACACAGTAAGTGAACACCCCCCGGCCCCCCTCACCCCAGCACCCATGTCAGTCCCTGACCTGAGGCCTGGGGACCAGGACACACCTCCCCCCGCCCCACCCCAACCACCACTGCGCCTCTGAGGCTGCCCACAGGGTGAGGGCGAGGACACTGCTCCAAGCCCAAGCCACGCCACACCCCACGGTCAGCTGAGGTGCTGGTAAAGAAACACACACCGTCCTGGCAGGTGGCTCAGTGGTTGGGGAGTCCCAAACATCAGTAGGTTGTGGGTTCCAGTCCTGGTCAGGGCGCACACCTAGGTTTCAGGTTCCATCCCCAGTTGGGGCATGTATGGGACACAATTGAATGATCTTTCTCTTGGATATTGATGTTTCTTTCTCTCTCCCTTCCTCTCTGAAATCAATACAAATAAATTTAAGCCCTAGCTGGTTTTGCTCAGTGGATAGAACATCGGACTGCAGTCCTGGGTTCGATTCTGTTCAAGGGTACCTTGGTTGCAGGCTCTTCCCTGGTCTGGGGGCCTGGTCAGGGCTTGTGCAGGAGGCAACCAATCGATATGGTTCTCTCACTGGAAATGCAGCCCATCCTCCCATAACAGGCACCGAGAACAGACTGATGCCGGACTGTCATGGCGGTGGGGGCCTGAGCAAGTCTGTGATGTCTCCTGTAGCCTCCGTGTCCCCATCTGCACAGTGGGTGTCAGACCAGCCCAGCTCAGAGGGCTCTGGAATTGTCCACAGCAGGCGAGAGAGATGCCAGCTTTTCCTTCTCTCTCTCCCCAAACTTGGGAGACCCCCAGAGAGGCCCAGGAGACAGCCTGTGGACCCAGCAGCGAGGTGACATCCTCACCGCTCGGCCCCTCCTCCTGCCGGAACCGGGCTGGCTGGGCCCTGGCTGGCGGTGGCCAAAGGTCAGGGCACCGGGTCTGCAGGCAGGAGACCAGGCTCCTGTCTGGTGAAGGTGAAACCTGGTGGTCACGGGGCCCGGGCTGCCTGTCACTGCCGGAGCCGGTTCAGCGGGGACAGGGTTGAGTCCTCTCTGGGCGTTGGTCTAATAACGCCGGCAGCATGGAGAGCGCAGGTCACCCACAGAGACCTCTCCGCCCCCCACAAGCCGGCTGCTTACCAGGGGTCCGACAGAGATTATGTGGGCAAGTGGGCAAGAGGGATAAGAATAGGTGTGCAAAACGGGCAGTTCACAGGTAGGCGCTGGGGGTGTGCGAGGCCCGGGGTAGGCACAGGGCGGGGGCTCTGGTTGTTCATCTTCCATGATGAGAGCAGCTCCCTGTTAGGGGAGGATGGGCTGCATTTCCAGGTGAGCTCCCAGGTCCACGGGCAACTCCCAGCCAGGCTAGGGCGTGCCTTCTGCAATCAGCATAGCAGCCGCGGTAGCAGAGCCTGGTTAGTATTTCCTGTAAGTATGGCTGCCCCCAGTGTTCTACCTCTGCCCCCAACAGAGGGGCCGGGACTCGGGGCATGAGCGAGTCTCCTGGCCTCTCAAGCTGCCCAAGATGGGGCCGTGGGCGTCTTCCCTCCGTTCTGGGCCCATCACGGGGTTTGCCCTCCACCTCGCCCTCTGCCTGCCTGCAGCACTCAGATCCCACCCTGCACCATCGGCGCCTGGAAACCTCTTCCAGGTCTTTACAAACCTGATCGCTGCCAAATGAAAAACTTAAAGAAAAAACCCAAACCTTAAAAAAATCCTCAGGAAAACGCTGTCTTCCTTTGGAGCCGGAGCACACGAGGGACTGAACATCCTGGGCTCCCCGCTCCCGCCCAGCTGGCTGGCCCCCAAAGGGCCTTTTATTTTTATTTTTTAAAATATATTTTATTGATTTTTTTACAGAGAGGAAGGGAGAGGAACAGAGAGAAACATCGATCAGCTGCCTCCTGCACACTCCCCACTGGGGATGTGCCTGCAACCAAGGTACATGACCTTGACGGGATCGAACCTGGGACCCTTCAGTCCGCAGGCCGGTGCTCTATCCACTGAGCCAAACCGCTCAGGGCCCAAAGGGCCTTTCAGATGCATGTGTTACCTGGGGGGGCTCCTCAGATGGGAGCACGACCAAAGGTGTTTGTGGGGGAGCCGCTGGCGTTCCCCACCAGGCATGGGGTGCAGAGGAGGCCGGGACCCGGTTCTGCACACGCTCTGCTGGGGAGCCCAAGGCCTGCTCGGTCCTTCGGCCGCACAGTGAACCTGAATTGTGAGCCTGGCGTCGAGCCCTTGGCGCTCGGACCCCACTGGCTCACCCCCCACAGCCGCGTTTAAGGGCCGTGGGAATCCTCACGGCCAAAAGGTGCCACTGAGGCACCGTCACTTACAGGGCCGAGCACGTCTGCGTGGCCCAGGGCGGGCGGGGCGGATGTCGCCTCCTGCTGGAGCCCTGGGCCAGTCTTCCTTCTGGAGCCAGAGCACACGAGGGACTGAACATCCTGGCTCTGCTCCTGCCCAGCTGGCTGGCCCCCAGAGGGCCTTTTATTTTTAGGATGTCGCCTCCTGCTGGAGCCACAGGGCCCTGCCTCCCGGCCTCCCTGGGGGCCTCTCAGGCTTGGGGAGGAGAGGAGGAGGCCTGCGTGTCTCTCGCCTGTGGACAGTCCTTCATTCCGCCACCTCGCACCCGGCAGAGTGGGTTTTCCTGGCCTGGCAGCGGCTCTGAGCGGAGTCACAGCCTGACTTGTTCCCTGGGCCCTGAAGCGGGTGACAGAGCTCGGGGCTGGCCTGTGGCCTCGGACAGGAGGCAGCCAGTCTGTTGTCAAGGCTCCATTCTTCCCCATTGTGTCTGCTGAGCCTGGCAGGTGCACCCCACCAGCCTGGCAGCGGGAGCCGGGCCGAGGCCTCGCCCTGCCTCAGTGGCGCTTTCTGGCCGTGCGGGTTCCCATGGCCCTTCAACGCGGTGCCCCGGGGCTGGCCCGGCCATGGCCCAGGCGCCCTGGGGACTTGCTCCTGGTGTGGTGCTGACGGAAGACACTGGCCCGATCGCTCGCCTGCCCCTCTCGGGGCGGGAGGGACTTCTGGGAAAGGCTGTGAAAATGCCATGAGATGCTCTACTGGTCCTGGAGGAGAAACGGGGCCACAGCGCTCACCCGGCCTGGCTCCTACCCCCTCCGCCTGGTGTCTGGGGAGGGGGGCTGGTGTTCAGGGGGGGGACCTGGGCCCCTGGGAGCTCCGGCGGCGAGGCCTGACAGCTGGGAGCCGGGTCAGGGGTCTGTGACCAGCGCCCGGGGCTCTAACATCTGTCCACGGCGGGTGCCAGCTGGCAAGGAAATGAGACTGCCTTGGGGAGAGGAAAAAAAAATACAGCTCACAGTTATGTTATTTGTATTTTCTATGTTTTCATGATTTCAGATAGAAACATCACGGAAAAGAGAGAACCATCGATCGGCTGCATCCGGCACGCCCCACACTAGAGATGGAGCCTGACACGGGGCCTGTGCCCTGACTGGGAACCAAGCCGTGACCTTCTCGCTCGTAGGTAGTTGTTCAACCACTGAGCCACCCCGGCCGGCAGGTCAAGACCAGTTTCTTTGTCAAGAAACGTTACCTGGGGGTGGACGTGGCTCTGGCTGACCTGCCGTCCTGACAGGCTGCGTGGGCCCCTCCCGGTGACTTACAGTTTCAGGAACTGACGTGCCCGTGATTAATCAGCCGGCCCCACGACTCTCAGGCATTCTTGGCAGCGGATTTCAGGTCTAATTTGATTTGAACTTGTGCGCGGATCCAACAGCCATATGTGATTATATTCAAAATCATGGACATGATCTCCTTACACCAAAGGACTCCTGCAAAAGAGCCGAAAAGCCAGCCGGAAGCAGAGACCCAGAAGCTGGGGAGGGAGCAGGCTGGTGTGTGACCTGAAGCAAAGGGAGGGGCAGCTTCAAGCTCAAGCGGGGGCCTGGGAGGGCGGCCGCTCGCGGGACCCGCAGGTGTCGCACGTCTGCAGGGTCCTGGCCTGGGCCCCGGGGACTCCCAGCAGCGGGTGGAGGCGCTTCCGTGAGGTTAGCTACCTGCCAGGCAGATGGTGCTCAGATCCAACAGCAAATACACCAAATAAAAGCAATGAACACGCCGCCTCCTGAACCAGGAGTGTCTGGAAAGAGTTCCCGATAGATGAAAACAAACAATTTGATTTCAACCCAATTGTTGTTTCTTTGTTTGCGCCCGGATTTTCACCCGAATTGTCAGTCTCAAAAATAAACACTGATACATTCCCAGAAAATATTTTTCAAATAAAAACTGACTCTGTTAAAGTTTGCCCTGATTCTTTCAAAACTGTGTACGAGACACTGTCAACCGAAGTGACTTCCACGTTTTTTTAAAAACACACGCGAACATATGCAGCTCAAATGTCACCCGCTCCCGCCGCCTGCGTGTTTGCAAAGATGACAGAGACCCTCGCGCCGCGCTCCTCACACCAGGCCCGGGACCCACAGACTCCCCGGGACTCGCAGAGCCGGGCGCTTCTCCTTGTTGAGTTGGAGCCGAAGGCCCCGCGTCCTTGTTCTGGGAGAGCCCGTGGGCTCCCTCCGCGCCAGCCTCGCTCCGTTGTCGGCATCCACTCTGCCCAGGAGCCAGCAGCCTCGGGATGAGGCTGGTGGGAGGAGAGAAAGCGGATCTCCTATCGCTTCGGGTGCATTTGCTCCACTATTTCCCCAGCGAGACATTGCATTTCGCCACATAAATTCACCATCGCGATCCTAAAGGGAGCTAAATGTTTTAATCCAATTAGACAAGTGAACAAAACACTGAATATTGCATGCAGTGCAGCTAGATCAGTGGTTCCCGCCTTTAAAAGACGGCGGCTCCGTCACATTACAGCCCCAAATGTCAGTGTTGTCTCCCTCCATCGCCTTCCGGCTCAGGCAGCCAGAGGCGCCTGCTGGGGGGGCGGGGGGGGGCACGGTCTGCCCTTCGGGGATTCTCAGCCTGGTTACCATGGAAACGGCTTCTGTAAACAGACACCTGCCTAGTGCAGAGGGCGCCTCGGACTCCTGGGACCCGCGAAGCTGGAGACTGCACCCCTGACCTGAGTCGCAGGGGGAACCCCGGGGTTAGTGAGCTCTGGGGGGAGGAGTGGGGGCAAGCAGATGCCGGGCCCTGGGGCTGCGCGGCCTCTGACCCCTCCCTTCTGGGTGTGGGTCCCCCGCCTCCCCCCATGTCCAGCCCCACATCTGCCCCAAGATGCTGCTTCCCAGAAGCCGAGGAGTCAGCCCCCGCCTGCCCTGCCCCGCAGGCCCCCTGCTCTCCAGAGCCGGCTCCTGGCTCCCCAGTCCTTCCCCTCGCAGCCCAGCTGGCCCTTCATTGTCCCAGCCCCAGGGCAGCGACGGGGAGAAGGGGGAGCTGGGCCTGGTGACCTTGCCCTGAACTCCTGTCCCTGCAGCTGCAACAGCCGATTCCAGGAAAGTCTGTGCCCAGCCCAGGGGTGAGGGACAGATTAGGGGTGAGGGACAGCCCAAGGGTGAGGGACCCGGCCCAGGGGTTAGGGACAGAATAGGGGTTAGGGACAGATTAGGGGTGAGGGACCCGGCCCAGGGGTGAGGGACCCGGCCCGGGGGTGAGGGACAGATTAGGGGTGAGGGACAGCCCAAGGGTGAGGGACCCGGCCCAGGGGTTAGGGACAGAATAGGGGTTAGGGACAGAGTAGGGGTGAGGGACGCGGCCCAGGGGTGAGGGACCCGGCCCAGGGGTGAGGGGCCCAGCGCAGGGGTGAGGGACAGATTAGGGGTGAGGGACAGCCCAAGGGTGAGGGACCCGGCCCAGGGGTTAGGGACAGAATAGGGGTTAGGGACAGAGTAGGGGTGAGGGACGCGGCCCAGGGGTGAGGGACCCGGCCCAGGGGTGAGGGGCCCAGCGCAGGGGTGAGGGACAGATTAGGGGTGAGGGACAGCCCAAGGGTGAGGGACCCGGCCCAGGGGTTAGGGACAGAATAGGGGTTAGGGACAGAGTAGGGGTGAGGGACGCGGCCCAGGGGTGAGGGACCCGGCCCAGGGGTGAGGGGCCCAGCGCAGGGGTGAGGGACAGATTAGGGGTGAGGGACAGCCCAAGGGTGAGGGACCCGGCCCAGGGGTTAGGGACAGAATAGGGGTTAGGGACAGAGTAGGGGTGAGGGACGCGGCCCAGGGGTGAGGGACCCGGCCCAGGGGTGAGGGGCCCAGCGCAGGGGTGAGGGACAGATTAGGGGTGAGGGACAGCCCAAGGGTGAGGGACCCGGCCCAGGGGTTAGGGACAGAATAGGGGTTAGGGACAGAGTAGGGGTGAGGGACGCGGCCCAGGGGTGAGGGACCCGGCCCAGGGGTGAGGGGCCCAGCGCAGGGGTGAGGGACAGATTAGGGGTGAGGGACAGCCCAAGGGTGAGGGACCCGGCCCAGGGGTTAGGGACAGAATAGGGGTTAGGGACAGAGTAGGGGTGAGGGACGCGGCCCAGGGGTGAGGGACCCGGCCCAGGGGTGAGGGGCCCAGCGCAGGGGTGAGGGACAGATTAGGGGTGAGGGACAGCCCAAGGGTGAGGGACCCGGCCCAGGGGTTAGGGACAGAATAGGGGTTAGGGACAGAGTAGGGGTGAGGGACGCGGCCCAGGGGTGAGGGACCCGGCCCAGGGGTGAGGGGCCCAGCGCAGGGGTGAGGGACAGATTAGGGGTGAGGGACAGCCCAAGGGTGAGGGACCCGGCCCAGGGGTTAGGGACAGAATAGGGGTTAGGGACAGATTAGGGGTGAGGGACCCGGCCCAGGGGTGAGGGACAGATTAGGGGTGAGGGGCCCAGCCCAGGGGTGAGGCCCAGCCAGAGTTTGGGTCACTTGCCTGTGGGGGGAGGAGGGAGGCAGGACTGCACTGACCCGAGGCAGGCCCTGCACCCGGTGGGGAGCACCGGGGTCAGAGGTCAGGGTCACACAGGAAGCCGCCTTTGCACAGTGTGTGGGGGGCTGGGCAGATCAGTGCCACCCCCGTTCCCGTTCCCTGTTCGGTCTGTGACCGAGCCCCACGGATGCAGACCTGGTTGCTCAAGGCTTCCCTCCACTGCTCAGAACAGCATCAGAGCGCCCAACTCCGAGGTCGGGGTCCAGCACACGCACACACATGCGCGCACGCACACATGCACACTCACACACACAGTCACACACACACACACACAGTCACACACACACTCACACTCACACACACAGTCACACACACACACAGTCACACACACACAGTCACACACACACAATCACAGTCACACACACTCACCGAAGGCGGCCAGCTCGGGCTCCTTCTTCCACTTGCCCAGCGAGGCGGGCGGGGT